TACCTAATTTTATGACCTAATTTCCAATTTAAGTACATCTTTAAATATGCATACATACATATACACTATATACATATATATAGGAATTCAAGATTGAAGAAATGATAAGTTGTCATACCACCCTAATTCTTTCCCCCCAAAAAACAACTTATTACAAGAAAGGTTTAGAATTCTGCGACTCAAATTTGAACTTGACCATCATGTCCAAACCTATAGGTCTATCACAAGTCTCATTTCAATAATTTGAACCGTTTATTTTGTGAAATTATCCATGTATATCATCGAATGAAAAATAAATAAATCGATCCGATAGTTGTATCTTTCTTATTTTAGCCCGTTTGTCTCTAAAAAAAATTAAATGATCTATTAAAACAAAAAAGAACAAAAAAACATCTGGCTTTATATTGGTGATGAAATAACAATTCAGTTTTAAGTTAAACATACACTAGGCTGATCCACCCCCCAAAAAAAAAAAAAAAAGCTAACCATTAATTGCTCCCCCCCCCAAAAAAAAAAAAAAAAGCTAAACATTAATTATTGTTGCTCACATTTCCCAAAAATAAGGTTTATGGATAATTATATGAAGTGGTATTTTGTGCAGTAACAATGTTATGTGTATCAAACAATATATATACCTTTTTCTATGAAGAGTTGGCGATCTCTTGCTGCTGATACCGCCACCGTGTTGCTAAAACTAAAATCTTCATCTGTGGCTTAAAAGCCTTTTTTCATACGCAGCTCTCTGCATGTCAAGTTTCAAATAATTACTAAATTGGAAACATATCAATAACACTATACCTTTTTATTTACGTTGTAAATTTTGGTATGAATTTAGACACAAGAAGAAAAAAGGTGGGTGATATGTATTATATTTCAATAGTACATTAGAGACACATATATATTGTTTCTTAAGGATATGTAGTTCTCGGGGACACCATGGTTATTTTACCCTTTTTGGCTGGTTTTTATCTCATAAAAATATTTGAGCAAATTATATCGTGGTTCTTATAATTTGCTTTTTGTGTCAATCTAGTCTCTATGGTGCTCTATAGTGCTAATTGTATCACTTTTGTTCTTTATTTTTCACATTATGTCAATTTTAATCCAATTGATAGTATTCATTCAATTATTGAACATAAATCAAGAGCAAAATGATTTATTAAAAAGGGAATGTACTATCTAGTTTAAAAAAAAAAAAAGGAATGTACTATTTCAAATTAGGCATCAACTCCTCAATCACTTTGACGAAAGTGAATGAACTATTTTTTTCCTCTTGATTTCAGTCAAATTTCTAAAAGAGAGTTATTAAATGGACTATATTTACACAATGTGAAAAAATTGAGAGTAAAATTATTGATGCAATTAAAATTACAATGACTAATTTGATATAAGAGATAAACTAGTTATTTTAGTTTACATGGTGTGGTGGTAAATTATCATTGGACATGCAATAGTTTTGTGTTCCTTCGCCAATGTTTGGATCATAAATTTGAATAAAAATTTGGAAAGGAAAAAGAAAAAGGTAAGTGAAATATAAATAAAATGTAACTATATTTCATTCACATTTCACCGCTTTTTTCTTTTTTTTTTCTTTTTTTCTTTTGAAATCCTTACTCAAATTCATAACCCAAATACAATATTAATGTAGTCATTAACCATTACAACCTCTCTTTTTTTCTAAGTTGTAAAATGTACAGATATAAAGAAGTTGCCTTGTTGAGTTCGCTGGAAACTGGGAAATATAATTGGAGTTTTACCTTCATATTTGGGGCAGTGCGTTACGTTGCCATATTTGCCTGGAATGTCAATATTATTCATGTCAGGGCCAAAACACACCAAACTTGGAAGATTTTTAAGTGTGATATGGCCAAACCGTAGGGAACAACAACTAACTCCGTCTTCCTTTTCCCAGGTGACAATCTTTTCTACCTTCTTGCAATGCGCAACTGTTAGACTTTGTAGATTGACAAGGACCCTGGCCATGGAAATTGTGAATATATATGTCAAGCTGTCACACCTCTTCACTTTTAGAGAACTTAGATTTCTGAAACAATGAATTTGTTGGGGAACACATTTCCATATATGCATCAGCATAGGCAAATACTTCAATTCCAAATTATTTAACAGAGTCATTGATGTTTCTTCCTCACCGACACCAGCACATACACCCCCTTGGAGGTCAAATATCATTTCCAGCGAATCACACCACCATACCTTTAGCCCTTCTATTTTGTGCAGTTTTCGCATTAAATTGGACGAGACAACACTTGATAATTTCCCACAACATTGGACCCTTATGAATCTTACTTCGTGAAGGAATCTGACTTCAAGTTGGTTGTGCCATATCTCAGTTGGCCCATCTAATCCTGTGATAGCAAGTTCCTCCGCTTAAACTATACTGCAATTGCAATCATTGTTAGTGACATTTACTAATTATTGAATAAAACAAACTCCACCTTTGAGACTGCACATTAACTTAGACCAATATGACAATAAAAAAATAAAAAATCTTACACAAATGTGATATGTTCATAAAAATTTAAGACCATTGGAAATAATAAAAGATGGGGAGGGGAAGAAAAAAAAAAAAAAAAAGAGAAGAAAAAAAGAAGACATACACAAAAGATGCATTTATGTCATTAACCCCCCAAAACAAGTCTATCTAAAAAATATTAAGGAAATTACCCGCATTGGGATATTCAAAAAATTATTACATATGCATGAAAAACTTTATAATTTTAGTTATCAATATTGATAAAGTTTACCATTAATTTGTAATTATTTTTGAAGTTGTACATTGATGTGAAATGTTTTCAAAAATATTTCCATAACTAAGGCTAGAAATACTAATTAACTAGTTTTCTACCCATGCACAGGATTTTGTTTGAAAATCAATTTTACATAAATACATTATGAATAATTAAATATATTCACACAAAAAATGTAAAAATATTGTAGGTTTTTATACAGTAAAAATATAAAAATACTTCAAACTTTATTTTTAAAATTTTGTACGCAATAATTTACATGGAAGAAAAGTGAAGTTACTAATTTCTAAAAGAACAAAAACTTTTCATTGGCACAAAGAAATTGACAAATATACATATGTGATATATGCAACACAAACATACATAATTGAGAGAGGAGTCTATTAAGCACTCCTAAAAACATATTATTAGATTCCAATATCATTTTGCGCGAACGTTTGACTAATCAAATTAAGCTTGATTTCAATGAACAAGAATAAATAATCAAAATAACACGAATAATAAATAATAATAAAACTCAAAAGAAGCAATTTTCAGGTCATACCTATAATTGCTGATCACATATCATTTTCACCAAATTATTGTGACTAAGAAATCAAAATTTCGTATAACTACAAAACCCAAATCAGAAAACATGTGTAAAAGAAGTCATCAATCATATATCACAAAGCCCAAATTCATAAAGCCAATTGGCCACTATCTTCTTTTTTTTGGTGTTTTTTTTTTTTTTTTTTTTTTTTTTTTTTTTTTTTTTTTTTTGTTTTTTTTTTTTTTTGTTTGTGTGTGGGTGTTTCGGAAATCCAATTGGCGACTATCAATTCATCACATAAGTCACCAATTTTCAGTTCAGAAATTTATAGATTATATGCCAAATTTAATAAAAACCCAGACAAAGAAAAAAGTTAGACCTTGTGAAACGTTGGACAAAGAAAATAGTTCAAGACAAATAATACGGAAATGGTACCAGTGGGGAAAAAAATTTAGACAAAACATTACAGTAGGATAATATATGGAGAATGAGTGGTTTTTTTAGAAACAGAAACATGAATACAAATATTCTACTTGTAAGATGTAACGGAATTACTTGGAATAAGAGAAGATAAAAAGCAATAAAAGCAAGGTGTTTTAACATACAAATGAAAGAGGAAGTGGAAAAAACAGACAGCATTGTTCATTAATTTTCCAAACGACACTCGGCACCATATTAACTTGTTTAGGAAGTCATGTGGCAATTTTTTAAGGCTTCTAAACTAAAAGGCACGGCTTTACTTATATTACATATAATCATATATAATATGATCAGTGTCTTTTAAATATTGTTTAATATTGGGAAGTGTATAAAAAGTGTTTTGAAAATATGTAAAAATATTAAAGAGTATTTTAATTTCAGTAAAAGTGCATTGAATTTAATAAAAGATGTCTTATATTTTTCAATTTTTTTTTGTCTTGTTCTTGTGCCCTAGCAATATTTTTTAGCAAGACCCATATATGATATACTAACAAACATACTAACCCACCCAAAATATGCATATGGGACCGACCCACTTAACATTGAGTCCAACTAGTATATTTGTTGGTATACTAGTTATTCTTTTGAAATATTTCTGATATTATTGTTTCTTCAATATTTTTTTTTTCTTGGTCATTCTTACATAATGTTCATATTACATACACGTCGTACAAACATACACATAGTGGAAGGGAGAGCTTGCTTATTTAGAGAATTTACTCTATTGTATATTTGGGTATGAATATTGCCCAATTAACTTTGCTGTAATTAAACTCAACTCAGTACAATCAATTTTAACCCCGTTTATTGGGAATTGGGACATAATTGACAAAAAAATATTAATACACAAATATAACATTTAGCAATGTTATATATAATAACATTAAATACAGAATGCCGTAGTTATAACTTACATTGAGACTAATTATTTTAAACCATGTCCATTAAAAGACCTTTAATAGCAGAAATGCCACCGTCATCATTATAGTAAAAAAAATTGTATAAAAATTATATTCCTTCATAAGATCTTTGACCACATCCATGATGAAGGGGTGTTTGGCAGTTGGGTTAGAGGTTTTTTTTTTTTTTTTTTTGACTAAAATAGCACTAAAAGACAAAATAGATTAAAAATAGTCAATAAGACAAAATATTACATCAAACCTATAATAATTGTCTTTTTTCTCTTACAAACATTACATTCAACTATAAAAAAATTCTCTTTCCAAACATAACTATTTTAGCCTACTAAAATAGTTTATACTAAAATAACCAACTTTCCAAACGAGACCAAAAAGTTTCCATGATTTTGCTTACCCAACAATTCTTTCAACTTCAAACGTATAAGGTTTATCCTTATTTTAATGAATATTGGAAACATTTTCTTTGAAAGAACGGAATGTTAATGGTGAATACTATAATTGTAAGATAACAAATGTACCTTTCCATCCAAGAGATGGTGTTGAGTTGAGGTTAAAAAGTTTGCCTTTTGAACATTGCTCGTCTGTGGCTCTTGCATGTGCTTGAATGCTGAAGGGAGGGCCTTCATGTTGGGACAATTGATTACTTCCACGGTCTTCAACAATGATCTTTCAAACATGTAAGCTTGGAGGCAAAAACTCCTAAGGTTCGGCAGGTCCCTGAGTTTGAGAGTATTTAGTTGAGGGAAGATGAGAATATGTGTTGCGACTTCATCATCTATTTTTGGTTCTTCGTCAATGATCACTTCCATCACACGACATTCAGTTACCTCTATTTCTTGCAGTTTCACAAGAAGTTTGGATATAGAAGACGAAAATACATATCTCAAATTGCCACAACCCTTTATGTTTAGGGATGTTAGGTTCTCGAAGCCTTGAATTCCTGATAAATTATCTTTCCAAACATGTATCAACTTTGGTAGATGCCTAAGTCTCACATCTATTAATGAAGGGAATAGTATATCTTGATGGTCTTCCCTAACAATTAGTCCTTCAATACCGAATGCTACTTCCACAGATTGGCAATCCTGCACTACAAGTATTTCAAGACTTTGCATTGCCTTCATCAAATTGGATGGAAAAAGAATATTCAGCAACCAATGACACTTGTGAACTATCATCCGTCTTAGTCTTAGTTTAGCTTCAAGTTCACCGGGCCATATCTCTATCAGGTTATCCATTGCATCAACATACAATCTCTCAAGGGAAGTCAAATTGACCTGTAGAATCCAATCACAAGGTTAATGCCAAACTTTATTTTCATTTAACACCACCCATTAAATTAATATTACTTCGAAGTTGAATAATTAAAGTTAAAACAGTTCTTAAAAAAATTGAACATTCAAATTTAGCTATACATTCCTTATAGTTTCAAAAGTGTTTTAAGAAACTAGATAATGACCATAGGAATTTCAAATTTAGATGGTAGAAATTCATACTAAACTCAAATGTCATCAAGTTGACATAAGACTGATCAAGAAATCAAATTGAAAATCGACTGTGCATTTGTTTGTGTGTACATGTTATAAAGGACACCACTTGAAATATCAAACAAAGCAGTCTGTGGTTAATTTTTTAATTGTTTTCGTCTAAAATATGTACTTGCGAGGTTTAGATAGATTGAAGAATGGCTTAGGATTTTGAGATTGAAAAAATTGGAGTTAGATGAATTTTAGAACAGAGCACAGGAAATTCAAAAAAAGAGTGTAAATGAAATTATTAGAGGATATCGCAAGATTAAAATTTTTCATCCCACCAAGTCAAACACTTTCCCAAACATAAATTTTAATTGTCTTTTTAACTATTGGTTCAATAGTTAAAACCTTGGCCTAATAATCTTGAGGTTATAGGTTCAAGTCTCGGGACAATTACTTTATGCACTATGCCAAAGGTTATGTGTATACTCAATCTTTCCTCTCTCAAATATATATTAATGTAAACTAATTGAACGTTGTTGTTTTAATTGGTAGAAGAGTAATTACAATAGGAAGAGAACAACTATAGAAGTCTAACAATAAGCTAACAAAGAGTTCTTATAATAAAAAAGAACGATCAGCACAACAACCAAACAACCTAAAAAACATCATCATAAATAGGGGAGAAATGAACAATACAACAAAGTTCCATAATGAAAAAAATAAAAAAATAAAAAATAAACAGCTATCAATTCTTTGAACTGAAATTCATTCGATTCAATCTATAAATAAAAACACAACCTTCATTATTCATTTGTAATGATTTCAATGTTTTATAAGAATGACTTTAAATTCTACCAGGTAGAATTCTAGTAAAACAATGATCCTTGTTAAAATATCTTTGCCACCTCTACTCCAACCTCTCCTTTAGGTTGTATTTGTATCGTAAATTTTGGTAGAATTTAGAAAGAGAAAGAGAAAATGTGAGAAAAATGTCAATGAAAAGTAAACTAATTTTTTTCCACCATTTCCCTTTCCCTTCTCAAATTTCTCTCTATATCCATGATTCAAACACGGTGTTGGATAATGGATTTGAGTAAAAATATAACCAAATCAAGCCAAACCAAGCCTTAAGTCTCATTAAATGAGATATTTGGGTAAAAATATGTAGAGGAAGAAAAAGAGGGGGGGGGAGCGATTATATTTCATTCATATTTTTTTCTTTTTCCACAAGAAATTCTACCGAAATTAATGATCAAAACATAGCCAAAGCTTTTTAATATAGTATTAATAATTAAGCATCATATATATACATATTATCTTAATCTCAAATTCTTCTATCCAAATACAACCCTAATGTTGTAAATAATTTTGTCAAAGTTCACAAAATTATAACCCGAACTTCAACTAATTTTTTAGTGAGTAGAAATACGACACATGAAAATGGCCATTTGTTCCTGGATACTAGCAATTTCAGTTTAAGTTTCATGTTCTTATTTTTACATCCAAACATATTCAATCCAATATATATAAATATTGATACAACAAATGCATTTATGCAGAAAATCAAGGAAACACATTTATATAGCCCAAAAGTTCCACTGAAAATAAGAAATATATGAGGTGCTCTTAAATCAAAGAAAGAAATCATACCTTGTTGTCAAAGAGCGGCTGAATGTAGGCATCATAATTACTCTCTACAGCAGAAGCAAGGCAGAGACTACCGAGTTTTGGTATTTCACGGAGAAACAAATCCTCCAATTGTGGTAGTTCAATTGCATTCATGGCTTTGCAGAATGCTGTAAAACTTGGCAGTCCCAATAGCCACAATTTTTTTAGTTTAGGAAACTCAATTTTATCTGTTGCCACTACTGCTATCTCATGCTCTCCTCCTTCATTTGAAACAATCACTTCCATCAGATGACAGTCCAATATCTCAATAGTCTCCAAATGCATGAGATTCCTAGCAATGGGAAGTGAGAACACATTTTCCATTTTAGCACATTTCCAAAAAAATATAGATTTCAAGTTGCCAAACCATTTAAGTGGAGTAGGACCCATCGATGATTGTGTTACTTCAGGCAAAAAATCTAGTAGTTGGCCATGACAAATAATCCCTTTGAAATCATCACATTTCTTTAGTGTCAACTTCGTCAATTGCTCAAAACTGTATTCTTCTAAATCACTCAGAATATTCTTCAAACCCTTAACTGAATCTAACTCTAGAATTTTAGTGCTCTGCGATAGCATCTTGAGGCTACTACTATCCCTAAGATCAGTCACATCCGCTGACCGGAGTTCCAACCTATTCGGCAACCGATAATTAGGTTCCCGATAATCGTTACCAGATGATGGGTAAACTGTTATATTGAACCTTTTCACCTTGTCAATGACCCAATCTCTTGGCAAGATAAATAATACAATATCCAAAGCCACCAAATGGGACAAGGATGCCACCTCAGCAATGATTGCATTAGTCATTTCTGTTCTTTCTTCTAGTCCATCCATTGTTTGAATGCTATTCCCAACATACAACTCTTCTAGCATTGATAAGCTTGACAAAACCCCTGGATAAATCCTTTCCACTGTACAATTCAACAAATCAAGTACCTTCAAGCGACCAAGGTGACCTATTATTTCTTTTGGCAATTCCGTGATATAAGAGCCAGCAAAACTGAACATTTCTAGATTCTCTAATGCTCCGATTACAGAGACAAAATCATCATCAAGTGGGCAACCAGAAAGTGACAAGGTTCGGAGGTTGGTCAAGCATCGGAGTGATGTTGGCAGCGATCCAGGAAAATTAGATAAAGCTAGCACTCTGAGTTCTTTCATCCCTTGACAGAAACAATCTTGGGTCTCCTGTACTTGGAGTTCTGGAAATTCTAGCTTCAGAAGCTGAAGTTTTGGAAATTCTAAATTACCAGGAAGCCCGTGCATACCATTAAGTTTTAATGAAATTACAATGTAATTTTTGAGCCGATGTTTCTGTGGCCAGTCTTCCAATGCTTTGTCATATCTCACCATAAACGAATGCTCCTCCCCAGATGCAATAGATAGAGCCACATCACGTATAACATCATGCATTTTGACACACTCTTTTTCTTCACTATCCATCAATAAATAGCATTTTTTAAGGTCATCAACAAAGTCATGAACTTTTTGTCTTGCTTCGCTCACTGTGTCAATGCCTTCAAACGATTCAAGCCCAATCCCATATCTAACAAGATCTTCAATTGGAATATCAAAATCTTCTGGGTATAGGGAACAAAACAGAAATACTTTTTGGGCTTCCTTACTTTCTAAGGAATTGTAACTCAACTCCAGAGATTTAAATATCTGGTCTTCTACTCCCCTGATGCTTTTGATGATGGACCTCTGTAATTGACCAAGAGCAGAATCCCATGAAGGCTCTCCCTTACCTTTGAGTGCCCTCGCAACTGCCTTAATAGCAACAGGCAAGCCTCCACATTCTTCGGCAACTGCCTTCTGTGTGGAATAGAATTCAGTACTCGTGTCATTGGAAATTCCAGCCATCTCCTTGAAGAGATTCCATGCTTCTTCTTTGTCTAAGGCTTCAACTGTAAATTTCTTTTCAGCTCCCATATCATCACATACATAAACAAATCTTGAAGTCAGCAAAATCTTACAACCACCGTGACCATCTCCATATGGAATTGCTATGTCATTCAGTTCAAGTCTCTTCCAAACATCATCCAATATGAGCAAGATTCTCTTCCTCCGTAGACTTTCACGCAGCCGATCTGCTCTTCCAGATGCACTCTCTTCCTCAAATCTCAAACCCAACTTATCTGCAATTTCAGCTTGAATCTTCTTTTCGTCAGGGCTTTGGGACACTAGAGCTATGACAACCTCATCGAACAATTGCTCTTCATTCGCACTTTTGGTCACTTCTTTGACCATCGGCGTCTTACCAGCACCTCCCACCGCACTTGATTTCTCTTTTTTCACTCTTTTGGCAACTTGTTTCACCATTGTTGTCTTACCAACACCTCCCATCCCACATATCCCAATCATGTGGAATCTATCATCCTTCAGTGCCTGCACGACTTCGTTTATGATCCGTCTTCTAGATTCAAAGCTCTTGATACCTTCAGTGGATTCAGATTCTATTCCTGGTGGAGGTGCAGGGTAGGACACTGTTGTAAAGCTCCCCTCTCCATGTAACTTAGCCACCTCTTCTGCCTTCTTTGTTGCTTTCCTGCCAACGGAGTGGCGTGACTTCAGGTTTGGACACCACCCATTACGACACCCTTTGTTTGCTTCAGTTTCATTTTTCAGAATTTCACTGGCCTTGTTGCTGCATTCTTTAACCCTTTCCAGCCACCTCTCAACATCAGGTCCAATAATCCATCCATTTCTTCGTGCTGCATCAACTGATAGCTGCAATGCACTACTTCTCTCTTCCAGCTTATTGACTTCTTCTCTGAGTTTGTCAAGGTTGCTTTTGTAAAAAATTACATAGCCAAACTGGCGACCAATTGGATAAACCAAATATTCTGCGATCTTGGCTCCAATGGAAAGAGCAAAATTGACGGCCATTTCTCACTTCTGATTTTGGTGATTGTCCAACACAGAGTTGGAATAGAGTAGCACAGGACGAGATAACAAAGCTTTTCTAAAATCAAAAGGGAATAGAAAGTTTTGTTTTTCTTTTCTTTTTTTCCTAACACAGATAGGATATGATGATAGGAAAGGAACACTATGCAAAATCAAAAGGGGGGGAAAAAAATTAAAAGCTAATGTTTGATATAATTAATTAAAAATATAGAGTTACACAATAGATGATTTTTTAAAATTTTTTAATTTTTTTTACAAGAAGGATTGAATATAGAGAATTATAATAAAACTGGACAAAGAGAGTTTTTGTACTACAACAGAAATGGAAACGAAGAAAGTGAGCTTGGTAAAATGAAAACAGGAATGTAGAGAATACTGATTTGGTAATCGTTCAACACAGAGTTAAAATAGAGTTGCAGAGGAGTAGATTACAAAGCTTTCTAAATTCAAAAGGGAATACAGACAATTTTATTTATTTATTTATTTTTCCTTACTTTCTTGCAAGCAACAGTTGAACACAAAGACCAATAACAAAACTGAAGTCAAAAATTAAATTCAAGTTGAGATTTTTTTTTTTTTTCCTATCTTTTTAAAGGTAAGCAAGGTTAAACTGAGAGAGAGAGAGAGAGAGGGTAACAATAGAATTGAAGTGGAAGTGAAGAAAGAAAAACCTCGGAAATTTTCCAGAGTCTCGATGAAACATGAAGAGAAAAGCTTTTCACCAAAGACAAGCAATACCATTAACCAAATCAAACAGAATCTCAAGAGAAACAATCAAAGGGGTTTTGAAGGAGAGTTTTAGAGAGTAATAATTTTGAGATCGCTACTATACCTGCAGCATGTGATGCTCTTACAGTAAAATTACATGCGGGGGTATTTGGGAAGTCACGTTTTGGGCTGTTTTTTTTTTTTTTTTTTAAAGATTAAAATAATTAAATCAAATGTTAAATCAAATTTATAATTTTTTCTTTCTTTCACAAATATCATATTCAATTATAAAAAATCTAACCTTCTTCCCAAATACAATTATTTTAGCCTGCTAAAATAATCAATTTCTCAAACACTCACAGGTGATGTTTGTTTGGAAGGATTCAAGTATGAGATAGGACTAATAGTCCATTCAAACTAATAATTTGTTGTTTGATTTAAAATGTTTGCATCGGACTATGAATCCTAAATCTATGGGATTGTTCTATCCCATGGGGGTGGGGGTGGGGACGGGGATGGGGACTCATCTCATGGGATTAGGTAGTGAAATTACATTTTTGACCTTTTACTATTTAATATCTTTTTAAAAATAAAATTTATTTATTAAATTATTTATACTTAATAAATTATATTTATTAAATTCTTTATACTTTATTAAATTATTTATTTTAATAATCATATGGTATTAATTATATTTAGTAAAGTAAAATAAAATTTAAAAATCTCAACTACAAATTAAAATAAATTTATGTAGTTTTTATTACTATTCTATTTATTTAATTTTTTAAAAGTTCTAGTAAAAAAATTAAATAAAATTTATAATTCATATTTAATATTCCTATTATTTAGTAAATAATTTAAAAGGACAAAATAGTCTTTTGAGCATTTATCTTTCTCCATAATATCTCAAACAAACATAGGATTCAATAAAATAGTCCAATCCAAACATCTAATCCTATGACTAAACAAAGATGGAATACAAATTCAGTTCAACTAAATAGTCCGATGTCAATGTATCCTAGGACTAACAGTCTGATAGATTACAATCTCTCCTTATCCAATCCGTCCAAACAAACATTCCCTCTGGGTATATGTTAAAAAAATATTGAGTGAATATGACTCTCATCACTTATATAGAAAGTTGCAAAAAATTAAGACTTTTGTTACCATATGCTCTGAGGACATACATTAAGGAACTATTAAATAAGTATAATTAATTCTAAGAAATTGCTGAAGTTTAAAAGTTGAGGCCTGTTATTAGGGTGCCTCTATTTACACACCACCTTTCATCTCAAGGCACACCATTAATTAGTTTATTTCATATTACAATATTAATCTAATGTAAAATGACCACAAAGGACAAAAGGTTATGATATACACCTTATGTAAAATTGCCATAAAGGATAATAATAAATACAATACACACCTCTCTTTTAAAACGTTACTTACATATCTTCTTTCTTAATAAACATACAAATTATTGAAGATTTTGATTGGACTGAATGATGGATGCATCTGGCAATATTGGTTTTGAACAATGGAGGAAGGAAAAAGTTAGTTTTTCATTTTTTTTTTTTTTCATTTTCATGTACTTACTGAGTGGTAAACTATTTGTAATCGTTTGGATACTCAGATTTGAACAATGTACTCATGTTCGACTATCTGCAACTGAACAAGTTCTAATTGTTCGATTTTCTAATGTCGAACGTAGTCCACTTGTTCGGTTAATAAGTTCTGAACTTATAGCATTTGTTTGATTTTCAACAGTCGAACTTTTGAACTTAGCTCGACTCTATATTTCCGAACACTTATAAAAAAAAATTTTGGTTTTTCCAGAACTGTGCATCCATGGAAGGGGTCGTGAACCAGAGGAGAATAGAGTGAAGTCGTCTTCAGCACGAATAGAGATCGGTTTAGATTAGTTCCTAAACCTCTGGGATGACAATGAAACAGAAAATAAAAGGGGGCGTTGTGTGTGTTTTTGAAGTAGAGGTGTAGAATATGGAAGATTAAAGATTGTGGATGGGGTGTGTGAGTGTGTGAGTGTATAAAGGTAAAGATGGAAGATTGTGGATGGGGTGTGTGAATAAGGGTAAAGATGTAAGATTGTGTTGTGTATTGAGCAAATTTCTTATTTATCAAATTACTAAAAGTGTGCATTGAGTAGTGGTGTGCCTTGAGATGAAAGATGGTGTGTAAATAGAGGCACCTCTGTTATTAGCACTTACATCATTTCTTTGGACACTTCATTTCTTTGAACCCCCATCCAACTAAATTAGTCCCCTCTATTTTCTCTTTCAACCCCCACCTTAATTCCGATTATGCCCTCTCTCTAACCCACGCTCCCATCCTAACCACTATCGCCGTTCACCCTCCTCACCCCCAACGCCTACCGTGCACCTTCCTATCGGATTGTTGCTTGACCTCGCCAGCAGTGGTGAGGTCAACACCTGAAGCTTTCCTCTCTCTCGCTCTCATCTCTCTATGTTCTCTTCTTCCTCCTCAAGTCTCAAAGCTTCTTGCTTCTTTGTTCTGTTTTATCTCTTTACTTTCTCTCTCTTATTTTTCTCTATTTGGATGGTTCTCCAGTGCATCGACATCTCGGAATTTGTTTTCCGGCGATAGTATTAATTGAAGGGATCGAGAGAGACTAGGCATCTCCGGTCATCGGAGAACCATTTTTTGCTCTTTCTCAAAATCGATTGTTGCCTCAAATCGTTCTATTTCTTGGATTCTTTTTCTATTACATACTTTTGATTTGCTCTTCGGTTATATATGTATTGTTTCCGATCTTGTTTTCTTTGCCTGAGAGCAAGCAGTTTTGTGAATTTTTGTTCCGAGTGAATGTAGAGCTTCAAGATGGAGGAGAGAAGAGGAGGTGACCATGGTGATTGGTGGTGGTGGTAGGGAACTGGCTGGAGGTGGTGATGAAATGGGGATGGTGATTGCCAAAGGTGAAGGGATGGGATTAGGGTTAGCATTAGGATTTGGAAAATTAGGTGTAGAGAGTTGAAGATGAGGGTAGAAATGGAATTTTATGTTTGAACAAAATTGAAATTAAAAAAAAAAAAAAAATGGAAGAGAGGGGGTCTTAAGAAAATAGGTAGGTACTAATAGCAGCCCTCTTAAAAGTTATTTTAACTAAACAAATTTTTTTATAATAAGACCAAAATGCCCTTATTTACTTTTTCCTCCTTTTTCTCCTTAATTTCATATGTATCCACCTTTCTTCAAGTTAATGTTTTATACTTTTTTATTTTTATTTTTATAATGTAATAAGAACATAACTAGGAAAAAAATGTTTATTGAAATCTTCAACCCTTTCAGCTTATATTTTAAAAAAAATTCAAAAATTAGTTTGGTAAAAGAAATTAAGCACTTATTAATTTTTAAAAAAATTTTCTTTTTCAAAACAAATAATTTTTGAAATTTTAAAAATATTTGTTTGTGTATATTTTTGTCAAATTAGTTTGTAATTTTTCAAAAAATTTAAAAATTCAACCAAACAAAAATATTTTGCAATTAGAGTTCTACCAAATTGGGTTTATCATTACTGATGTAGAAACAGTTACCGAGATATATACATAAAAATAAATAAATAAAAGAAAGAAAGATAAGCAACAGGGCAAATATTTCCAGTACGAATAGCATAAAGGTTGGGTATCAACCTATAGTTAGTACCGTAATAAATTTAAAAAAATAAAAATTAATAAACAAAGCATACAGTACATGAATTTTTTATTTTTTATTTTTTAATCTAACACAACGCACCATACAATAGAACTAAATAATAATAAAAGAATCTTAGGATTTTGTCAATTTCATCATTTAAACAATAGGATATTTCTGTCCATGTAAAAAAAAAAACACCAACTTTATTAGTTTTTCAAAAACACCATATTTATTTCTAGTTTTGTTTTACTTTCCTCATATAAATGAGAGTAGTTAAGGCCATTTATTACATTCTTAACATCTTAACCAAACCCAAAAATTAAAAACTGTCTTATTAACATAATTTATTTTACAATAAGACCAAAACACTTTTATTATTTTTCTCTTCATTTTAAATTTTCATCTCTTTTTTTTTTTTTTTCCTTTACCTTTTTTACCTTTTCACGTTCTTTCCTTCAGTGATGCTTTACATGCTCGTCCTGGACATTTGACGTAATAGAAAAGAAGCAGCCACAATGGGCAGTCCAAAAAATCCCAACTGAGTTGCTAGAACTTTTTTTAGTCAATTTCTTAATATTTTAATCATTTTTTTTTTTGTTTTTATCTTTTAGATTCAATTATCTAATTACACTTAAAAGGTATAAAAACAATAAAATACAAAAATTCAGAGTATTTTCATATTTTAATATTCACAAATATTTTAGTTTTTAAGTGAATTTGGATTGGCTCAAGGCATTTGTCTAATTGGTCATAGAGATGGCACTTAGATGAGTAAAGTTTTAATTTCGAGTCTAAAAAAGTATACAAAAAAAATTGATTAAAACAATAAGAGTGTGTTTGTTTGGACGGACTGGATAAGGATGATTGTAGTCCATCGGATTATTAGTCCCGGGATACATTGTCCCCGGACTATTTGGTTGAACTGGATTTATATCCTATGTTTGTTTAGTCATGGGATTATATGTCTAGATTGGACTATTTTTAGTGAATCCAATGTTTGGTTAGACGGACTGGATAAGGATAAATGTTCAAAAGACTATTTTACCCTTGTACTTTATAATTTTCAATTAAATTAAATTTATAATTTATAATTTTTATTTTTATTTAATATATAATTTTAAATTAACAACACTAAAAAAATAATTTATAAATGTTCAAAAGACTATTTTATCCTTTTTTAATTGTTTACTAAGTAATAGCATGGAGGATAAAATGGACATTTCACAAAATAATCCCATGGGATACCAATCCCATGGTTTCTATCCCACCCCTCATGGGATAGGATAG